AATCAGGCAAATTCGACAATCTGATATGCTTTGAAATATCTAAGAGACAATTTAAGTAGACTGGTTACAACGCACTAACACAGTGCCATGTGATATAATCAAGAACATAAATTCAGGTTCCTTTTTCGTCATAAATTAGATCTTTATAATTTTTTCTTACACGGAAAATTCAATGACTGACATGGTTAACATGGTTTTGGTTTTACGATTAATTCATTTGCCGTATGCAAGTGTACTGTTTTTCAGATTTTGAGCATGAATATTTCTAATTATGTTTTTGTCCTTTACTTTCAACTTTCATCATCCTAAAGTGACTGATCAACTTGTCCGTAGCTGAAATTTTTATCGAAGGAGAAGTTGAGTATCTAAAAAGGAGGGCAATAAATCATATAAATACAACCTGCCTGTATTATGAGCGTTAGCCGGTAGACATAACAAGATCACGCTTATATCAATTTCCCTGGGTTATAGAAGAATATCAGAGAAGCTAACATGTCTTCCTGCCAAAGTTTTTTCACTTTAATTTATTTAGTTTGAAAACGCCTTTAGCATTTCTACAGAGAAGTCAACCAACCATGTTCTATTAAATACAGAAACACAGAGGTATAACACTACTAAACAGGTATTTCTCCAAAATGAAGTCTTCTGCTCACCAGCTAGCATGAAGGGTTACTTCAAAAGTATCAAAGGCAAATATCGTTAGAATATGTAACCTGCAATCAAAATTTTTCTTTGGTTTGATTATATTACGTTTTTCACTGGAAAAATCCACTTAAGTGTAGTAGAATTTCTCTTTTCCTTGACAACATTATGGATGTATGTGAAAGTTTTGCTATTCCTAAATACAATATATCATGAAACGACATTATGCCATGATTTAAAGTCACCAAGTTCATAGTCTCTAAGGTATCTCAAGAAACTGGTCGGTTTATCAGAGATATAACCCCTGCTTTGCATTCTAAAATTAGGAATGTAAGTAAGTTTGAAATTTCACCTAATCTTGCAGCTTTCATGTTTTGGCATGAAAAATTTCAGTGATCATTACTGGCGAAAAACCTAATAATAATCAATAATTGTTTTACAACAGACCTTAATAATGTAAAGCTCATACTAGAGTTTTTGTTTCTACCTGTATTGAATGTGATATAAGAAAATTACGAAGCTTTTACTAGTCTTTCTTTTTTTAATGTATAGTATGGTATTTTACACTAAGGAGTGTCAAAAGTATGAGGACGAATTTCAATTTCCAAGGGTTGTTAGGTTATATCAGACGTTTTAAACAAAGCAACTTATGCATCTCTGCTTGACTAAAAACTGTATCATGATAAGAACTTTTAAATATCTCTTTCAAGAGCCGACTCAACTTGGAAGCCATAGTTGTTCATGTTAGTACTAATAACACAGATATGTAACTTTTGTCACTGTACTATTTTTATGAGGACACTATTTACTGACAACAAAGTATATACGTTCAACTGAACAAAGTCATTATGTAAAAAACCTGCAAGCTAAAATTTAGAAGTTGCTTTTTAATTTATTGAAAAGCTGAATGTTATGTCAGTAGGTAATGTGTTCACGATGTATACTCACTTGCTGTCTCCCTTCGCTTATATGACCTTAATGTAGACACATTTGATATGCAACCAACTTTAGGCAGAAACAAGATTTTCTGACGCCCTTTGACAATAGCTTATGTGGAGGCAAGATGACAGTTTCGGTGACCAATCTGAAATTGTCAGTCTGGGATCACGACTGCCTTGACCAATACTAATTTTAACAAAGTGAAGAACTGCAATTTTAACAGAGTATTCAGCCGGTGAAAAGTGTATTGTCTCCGCAGTTAACAAGGGAAAAGTATATTTTTAGTGACAAATCTTATATGGCGATTGAAATTATACTATTTTTAGAAAAATAGAAAACCATCTGTCCAAAAAGAAACAAATAAGTGAGCTTAAATTTTAGATGGCACGTAACCACCACACTCTCTGTTTAGTTTTATTCTTGTTAACTTAAGATATAATTGAATGCAGCGTTTTAATGCTAATATAGATGGCATTGTTTGCATCCTGGACTAAGAATCAAACAGTATCAATCTTTTCTAAGCACAGAAATGAGACGACACTTCAGTTAACAGAATATTACTGAAACTTAAATTAAGAGGTGACATTGTTAGCTAAATAAAGATGGAATGTATTGAAAAAAGGTTTTTGGTGAATATCTGACAGTGGAAGACTTTTATTTTCTACAACTGGTAAGTTTATGATACAACTATCAAAACTATAATGGACCTACAATTAGACAACTGCTTTTAGTAATTTACTCAGGAGTACCCTCCATGTTTGAGTGAACAACCAATAAGCAAAGCAACAAGTTGGGTGCAGAGAATTGATTTTACAAGACCAAGGCGTTGATGAGTACTAATTTCATATCATCGAATCTGCAGAATAGTTCACGTATTACTTTGTAAACTGAGAGAAATATCGGCTAAAAAACTACCCTAATCAAAAAAAATATTTGTGAGAATACTAATATTCGCCAGTGGTCTCAGTCGCATGGTCATCATGATAGTTATACCCTTGAAAATTATTTTTGGTTAAATGAACATTCTGTAGTCAACTCCTGGATTCGTATCAATATTACTTTTCTCCTGAGAGAACAGATTTTTTTCATTATGCAACCTCTTGACGAAAGCTTCATTTGTCAGTTATAGTACAATCAGGCAAATTCAACGTTCTCTTCAGTGAAACTATTCCAACTATATCCTTTATCATTATCAATGTATTTCTGATGAATGATAATCGGTATCAGTTTTAGATCCTTAATTAGATAGTTGTAAATACACAACCGTACAGCTTCAAGCTAGTGGGATATTTTCTGTTACTTCAAAAGCAATTTTTTCCTTAATGTCTAAGTAGTATTTCACTATTTAGTTTCTTGAGCAAAAATGAATGAAAATTGTTGAATACCTCTTCTAGCTATTAGCTGTTTTTCAGTCAACCTATGATTTATAACACCTTATGAGTAGCTGGTCACAGTAAATTATTGCAAAAACAGCTTTTAATTTAATGAAATGAGAAGGTGAATTCATTTATTTGCGATGTAAATGTCATAGGTAGGAGGTAGTGTTATTAGATAAACTGTAATTAACCTACAAGCCTAAACGTCAATACCTTTAGTCATCTTTCTCTTTAGTTTTTGAACCAAATGTTTTGCTTTCGAGCAAATGTTTTCAGACAGAATATTCTGACCATAAAACCATCCAAATGATCACTTGAAAATTTGTTGCATGATATTCTAGTGGCTGAAGCAAAACTGATCTCGAAAGATGCAAAATGATAAACATAGCATCAAGTAAACTTCATAATAAATTGATTAATTGTATTTCAGCGGACAACACGTCAGGTCTATGGTTTTCAGGATACATTCACTTCTATTTTCATTAGCAGATATATCAGTATAGAAACACAGGAAATAGAACCATGCACCCAATATTGCTGTGAGTATTTACTAAATTCTCTTTTATGATGCTCATTTTAAGGTGACTGGCGGTGGTTAAAGAAATATCCAATTATACTTTGTTTAGCATAAAAATAGTTTTTTGACTATGCTGCAGTGTACGCTTGTGATTTTATAAACAAACTGATAACAAATGCAAAGTAGTTTGAAATGTAGGGGTTTTTAAGATTGACAGCCGTCTATGAGTTGCTAACTAGGGAGACTCACGTGTTATCCACTCATTTGACTACAGGAATTTCGTTTACTAACCTTTTCCTTTTGTTTTTGCCAAAGCTTTTAATCTCAACAGAAGAGTTATAACTGCATTCATACCCTCTCAAATATCTGCTTTATATCACAAAATTGGCTAATTCGGGTATTTTAACTAGAATATTTACTCACTTCTTCATAAGAAGACTTGTTATTAGAATCTACATGTAATTCCGGGCTTGGAGTTTTCTTAATTTAATATCAGACAATCATAAATACGAAATGAATTGGTCTCGATTGTTAATTAAAATTCACTTTCTAAAATGTTTAGTGCTTGCTACTACGTAAAGTCAGTCTGGTTGAATACAACTTTCAAACCTAGATTGGCTATTAATCGACATGAATCAGTCAGTAATGGTTGGTTGCTTTAGCTGACTAGTCCTTGTTGCTCAGTACCGGTAGAAGCCTTTTGGTTAGGTTTCTTTCAGGCCATTAATTGGACTGACTAAACACCGTGGTGCGCTTCATATTAGTAACGGCAACTTTACATCACCGAAAGAATACCAGTCTCTTTACAGAGGAAAAAGCGCTTTAGTGACTAGTGAGAAGCATGAAATGTATGTTTACGGCTTGCTGTCATTTATCTTTAAATATCTTGCACTGAATTTTAAAAGATCCCCTTTCTGGAGATATCTGGTCCTATTCTTTCCAACTACAGAAAGATTATTTCAGCAGCAACCTGAGGTAGATTTTGATGTCAATTTTAAAACAGTTGATGACAGTGATAATTATGGATCTAAGTTTAGTAATCCACCGATCAAGAGATGGTTTTACTAATATTTATGAATATGTCAAACTATATCATTTCTTTACTGGCTATGAAACTGATAGCCGGTGTATCAGAGACCTATTTCACGTAAACTGATGCATGAATAAGTGCACCACACAAACCAATCACAATCTTACCTAAGAATATGTGATGTCAACTGAACTCCTTAGTTTTTATGCTGAGAGAGAAAGAAAACGAATCACTTATATCTCCAGGTATGCATAGAAGGTTGAAAATTACTGCACACCCCTTCAATCCGAATGCGATTCATTGGTTTTCAGTTTAGTCTTTTGAAATATTGATGATCGTTCTAGGTAGAAACAAAATTTATAAACGTGATGTTTCATATGCCTGACTGAGACATCTGAAGCTACTCATGACAGTGAATTATTCAGGATGTTAATACACCCTCTTTCACATCTAAATACTAGTCATTGCACTAAATAATGAATAATCCATTATTCTTCAAATAAACTAAAAAAAATAGTTTCATTTACTGCAATTTCTAAGTAAATAGTATTGAGTGGTACATATCATGAGATATTATTGTGAAAATTGTATGTGGTAAAAGTGAACAGAAAAATATGGCATCTTAAGTGAACAAATAACAACTGACGAACGAATTTCTGAAAACATTTATGTAATTGAATATGAATATGTAACAGTTGCAAAAATATCACACACAATAGTATTTGTTAACACAAAATGAAGTACACAGACCGTTGAGTGAGAAAATTAACTCAACTAAATAAAAAGGAACAACATTGTTTGCAGGACACCACAATGAAAATATAAACAGTTGTACATTCATATTATGAAATAATTGACAGCGTTTACTCCTAACCTTAATGAAATAGATGTGGAATGAATGGAGAGATAGTCTGTCATTCTGGCATACTGATATTTGTTGTGAAATTAATTTTTGGTTTATCTGTTGTACATTTTAATACTCCGAAAATATTTATTCTTTTCACTTTGTAGGACAGGATCCATTAATATTAAGAAATGACGCAGTCAAGGTGAACTATATCAGGCTTACATTTACTTGTCTTTCCACTCGATTTTCGACTTAGACGAAGACTATTACGGAAAATTCCTTGACGTAACTTAGTTGCTGAAGACTTTTGTTCATTTTGGTTTATATCAGAGGACTCACTATTGTTGTAATTATTGACATTCAGACTAGTGTTGGTGTTTGAATTATTACTGCTGGATACGGTACCACTAAGAGCAGAAAAATCTGTCTCCTTTGGTCCAGATGATGACATATTTCCCAAGTTTGCGCTCATAATATTGCTGCTGCTACTGCTTATGAAAGAAGTTGATGACGTAATCTGTTGACTGTTACTCAAACTGGCCCGCCTGACACCATCCCATCTCACCAACTTGATTGCTTTACTTACACTATTCTGCAACCACAGCGATTCAAACACTGACATGACTGAGTCATTGGTTTTAGCACTAGCATAAACAAACTGTGAAGGTTTCAGACCGTTAGTTAAAAGCCACTCCATAATGGTGCCTTCACTAACTTGTGAATATGAATTTGGCAAATCAGACTTGTTACACACAACAACTATTGGCGGTGCTGCTACATTAATATTAAATATACAATCATCATATTGCTCAGTCAATGTATTTGAAGTAAGCGGAGCATAATCTTTGCGTTGTGATTTAATTTGTGCTAGCAACTGTCCAGCTTGTATAAGTGAATCAAGATTATCGTGAGAGAATACTATGACAAAAGCGTTGGCTTTATTAATGCATAAACGCAGCATTGCTGGAAAGTCGTAACTACCAGCTGTATCCATCAATACAAGTTTTACTAGGTGATCACGTACAATAAATTTTTTGAGATGAATATCCTCAACTGTCGGTGTATATTTTGACTCAAAATGATTATGCAGAAAACGTTGAATTATGGATGTCTTACCAACTTTGGCTGAACCTAAAAACACTATACGGACTTCTTCATCAGCTGCTGTTGAGGATGATGACGATGTAGATGTACTTTGTGGAGTTGTCGGTGAATTGTTTAGGGAATCACTTTCATGTTGCCTTGGTTCAGACATTTTTGTTTGAATCTGTGGTGGCTTAGCATAACGTGATACAGATGAGTTCATTTCTTAGACTCCCCGTTATTCTCCACACAGTAATACCTTAAAAAAGTATTTTGTTACCATCAAAACAAGAGATTAAATAAAATGGAATATAAGGTTAGATTGACAAAAGAAAATTGAAAACAGAAAATAATTTTGTCAAAGCTTCATATTTACAGGGTGTGATTCTAAAGATGAATAAATTTAGCCCGCAAATTTACTTCCTACTGACTAGCTAGATAAAGTTTTAATGAAAGCTTTTGTCATTATTATCCAGTGACGTTAAGTCAATCTTTAGGTCATTTGATAAAGGAAGCTAATTAATTAGTAATAAATATATACTGAAAGTTAACCGATCAGCCTCATGTACTTTCAGTTTAAAATGGAATATTTCGGATCGTCACCATTTCACTCGGTTCTTTGCAGTCTGGCTCCACCTGGCTCCACGACTCCCCACAAGCTTTCATTTCTTCCTCACACCATCTCCTCCATCTCATCCGCGTCTCGGACGCCCAGCTCCTCATTTTCCTTTCGAGGTCCACTCAAAGGCCTGGCGCATGATGTCCTCGAATAGTCTTCTCATTGTTTGTCCAGTTCAATCCATCTCCACTTTCTTCTACATATTTGTTGAGCGATGCGTTCCTGGTTGGTTAGTTGCCAGCCAGAGTCCCATATTACTTAGTTTTATCATCCTATCCGTCTGATCTTCAGTATCGAGTCAGCGTAGACAGCAGCTGTTGATGAATGACTGTAGTTTGTTGGAAATGTTTTTCGTAGAGCGCCAAGTCTCTCAACCATCACATAGAAGCACTTACATACTTGACATTAGTGTTCAAAAAACAGATCTTGTTCGTTATGCAGACTGCAGTGCACTGCAGTGCAGTGCAGTGCAGTGCAGTGCAGTGTAGTGCAGTGTAGTGCAGTGAAGTGAAGTGAAGTGAAGTGCAGTAGATCTCCACATTGATTTCAGATTATTGAAGGCCTGTCTTGCTGTATTTCTGATCCAGGCTTTAACATCCTCATGTGTGCCGCTGCCTGTATTTGAAACGATGCTACCTAGGTGGTACGTGACAGAGACTACTTCCTATTGATTTCTCCCGTTGATGGTGATTGGTGCTTGTTGTTGTTGTTGATATTTATGTAGTTGTAGTTTTAGTTGTTGTTGCTGTTGTTGTTGGGTGTCTCCATCACCTCTGTTTTCTCCATGCTCATCTGAATGAAGTCACATCTTCGATACCTCACACCTTCTGTCAACTTTTACTTTTCGAGTTTGTGCCACAAGACATTAGACAGTAATCATCATTGGCAAAATCCAAATCTTCTTCGAGGGTATTTCCATCCGTCCAGCCAGCGTATACCCCTCTTCGCACACCTCCTCATCCTCTCTTGCATGATCCGTTTCAGCACAGTCCAGTCGACCACAACCAGGAAGATCATGGGTGATATTAGGCGGCAACCTTGTCTTACTCCTGTCTTCACTTCAAACGCATCACTGAGCTTGCCATTGTGAATCACATGGCATGAAGCAGCTTGTTGCATATAGCTAGCTGTTGAATGAGGTTGTTGCAGATTTGTGGCACTGAAACCGTGGTGTTGAAGCAGCTGCCTGGCAAACTACTTCTCAGTTGACGCTGTCGAAGGCCTGTTCAAAGTCGATGAAGTTGAGATAGAGAGTTGACTGCCATTCCATGCTTTGTTCTATGATGATATGATGTGTAGCGTAGTTTTGCAATTTGATGTGCACATGATTTGTTCTTCCTGAAGCTAGCCAGCCTGTTCTGGTTGTTATTTTGAATGCAGAGCATTTGTGAGACTCTCCAGGATGATGCGGCCGAATATTTTGCTTGTGGTGGACAGGGACGGGAGCATGATTCCGTGCCAGTCCTTGCAAAGACTTCGGTCAGCCTCCTTTGATAGTTTGACAAGGTAGCCCTTCTTCCAGTCAATTGGCAGGTACCTTTCCCTCCTTCCTTCCTTCCTTGCAAGCCTTCTGCAATAGTGGTGTGGTGTGAGCATGTTCGCTGTTGTCTCTGCTTCTGTTTTCAGTGCTTCTGGAGGAATTCCATCTGGTCGTGCTGATTTCCGACTTACAGTGACCCAATGGCGTTCAGGACCTCGGTTTTTCGCTGGAGAGATTGTGTTGGCTGGTGATTCTGTGTGTGGGCTGTTGGTGGTGTTTGTGGATGAGTTGCATGTGATGGTGGTGGTGATCGATTCAGGAGTTTTTCGAAGTGTCTATTCCATCGTTTTCTGTGTTTCTCCTCTTCGGTAACTATGTTTCCGTCACTCTCTCTCATTGGTTTCATCTGCTTCGATCTCTTGCCTCCCAGCTCATAATCTGGTTATTTGATATAATGTTGTCAGGTCTCTCCTACCAGCAGTTTGTGCTGCTACACTTGCTAATGTGTTATTGAATTGTATTTTTTCTTTGCGTTCAATCTTCTTCACTTCTATGTCCAGTGTAGTGTTTCATTCGTTGTACTCTGTTCCTGATTCCGTTGTTCATCTCTGCAATGCACTGCACTGCATTTGCTCATCTTCTGCTTCATCATCAGCAGCTTCACCACCTCTATCCGGTTTCATGTGTCCGTCGAGATCCATTTCCTAACTTCTCTCTTCCTTATCCTCAATACGTATGTGCAGGTTTCTTTCAACATCTTTTCCATAGACTTCCAGTGTTCTTCCACGCCCGATCCTTCAGGGATCTTGCTCGATATCTTTTATTTGGTTCTGATGGCTGACTGATGTGAAGATGTCCCTTGTATTTTCGTCCTTCAGTTCACTTTCTCTTCTGGGTGTTGAACTTGAACCGTGGCCTATAACCAACTGCTGTGAAGGCTTTCAAATTGATTTTGGAGGTAGGTTCCTTGCACTGGATAGTGAATGTTGTGAACCACCTACATCTGCTCCCCCTCTTCATCTGATCTTGTGTCCAGTAGGCTGCGTCTCCACTTTCTTCACATTGAGATGAAGTCAATGCGATCTGTAGTGTGTCCTGGTGTCTGGTGAAATCCATGTCTCTGCCTTGTGAATATCCTTGTGTTTGTACACACTGCTCGACTCCAATCACCAAATCGTTGAATGCGTAGAAGTCTGCAAACAGTTCTCCATTCTCGTTCATCACTTCACCAAGTGCCTCTCGACGCATAGTTAGTTCTCTTCCTGTGTTGTCCTCTCCCAGTTTGGCATTCACGTCACCCTACCAATAAGAGTTTCGATGTCGCCAATTGGAGTGGGGTCTTGTCCAATGATGATTGCAATTGTCCGTAGAATTCCTCCTTCTTCTCTTCATCTGCATTATTTGTAGGTGCATATTATAGCACTGTATTATTGTGACTTTCCTTCCTTTTGACGAGTTGAATCTTGCTGTCATGAAGCTGATCCTGATGCTTGAGGAGATTGGTTCTCACCACATGAGAGCCTTCGATGCTGTTGGGGGAATGGTGGTAGCCACTCCTAAACTCAGTGTGTTCGTGGTGGTCGTAATCTTGGTGACAATACTGGTGTATATTATTGACTCCTCTCCAGTTGACAGTTTGGAGAGTCCACTTCCATTCCATCTGCTTTCGCTAATTCCTAGCACTTCTATGCCAAATGTTCACAGCTCTTTTGGAATCTGGACAGCCTTGACAGCCACCCATCTTCAAACATGATGTGGTCATTCCATATCCCTATGCTTCCTTTCTATTTTATGGAGAGAAGAGAAGAGAAGAGACATCGGGCAATTGGCTTCCTGAATGCTTTCACCAGCTGGCGTCATTTCGCCTCTCCGATTTCAGCGAGGAATAATATTGTTTTTATTTCTTATATTTTGTTTGTACTTTGATTTTTTTTCGGGATTGGATTGGTTTATCCGGTGTAGAATTTCTAGTTCCATACTCATCTTTCGCTCATTATCAGGGCTTAGTACCGGCTTTTATCTGTTGAACTAGTTAACTAAGCCAGTTGAAACTCTTTGGTAATCCCATGAATATCATGTTCATTTCGGGCCGTTTCTGTTTTAATGATTGAATTTAGTGACCATTTCATTTGTTTTTTACATGCCTATGTAGTTCTGGCTGCTAAATCTACATTGGCGGATGGGCTTTCTTGCAGATGCTTCGATACTGCTCGGTATTCATCTTGGTGGCCCTCATTGGAATTCAATATGTGCATTTAGTTATATTTGAGACTCGTCAGTCATATGTACCTGCACTCCAGTAAATGATTTTTCTCTCGCTGAGACTCGAACGCAGTTCCCTACGCTGCACACGACGAAGCGTTTTTTATTAGACCACTGGGGCAGGAGGGCCAACACTTGTGCAGAGGGTATCATTTTTCACCACTGTTTCCTTTTTGCTGGCGTTCCCCATTTTGTGAATGAACATACAGTACTTGGTTACCTATCATACCTAAAATTCACGGTTCATTTGAAACATTTTAGTTCTTGGTTTATAATGCCATCAGCGTATTTTAGTAAAGAATATGGAATAAAAATCACCAATCGATACAATGGCTACTCAAGCAAACGATACTTGTAGGCGGCGTTAATTAACTTACTACCGCATTTTGCAAGAAACAGGAGTTTACTGATTGTTTTTACAATGATGATTTAAATTACTTTGAAGCATAAAATTTACAAATATTACACCTATTTTGGACATGTACATTATTTCTTGTTATATTTCTTTTTACTACTCATTTAGTTTTAAGATAAAGTGCTCAGTCATTTGTTGCTTTGTACAAAACTTCGCCACAATTTTTTGATTCTCTTGAATGAGGGGATACCTGTCTTGGAAATATGAGTCCGAGTTTTCAACAAAAGTTTATTTTTCTAAGACGTGCCAGGGTTTCTCAGATAGCATTTATAGCTAACTAGGTAATCGTAAAGACGAAATCGTAATAAATGTTATGCTTGAACGAATCATGGTCAACAGTGGACTGGATGGTTTGGAAAAACTAAGGTAAGGTGTACTTTTATATCTGTAATCTAGTCGCAGTATATTAGAACAAATAAAGGAATATTTTGCATTACTTTTCAACGTTTTGCCCTTTTTAAGAAGATCCTTTTCAAGAGTTTA